CTACAATCTGAATTTTATTAAAAAAAGACCTGATTTTCTCTTTTATATTACATGAGTTAGATTTTTTCTATTGTTGATTTTTTTTTTATGTAAATAAAATAAAATAATATTGTTGTAACTTGTATGTTGAGCTATATCATTAAAATAATAAATAATTACATATTTAATTATTAATTTAATCAGACAGTCTTTTTCTGGTTTAACCATAGTAGACTCAAACTCGGTTCGTAAATTGATCGGGGTCACCTAATGGTCAAAACTCGACACGATTCACCAAAAAATCAGCTCGGCTCAAATAATCGGGCCGAACCATCGGTATTCGAATAGGCACGACTCAATTGCCGATCCTACCCATAGTCCTACACATAAAACAACTAAATCAAAACCCAATTGTATTAGATGGGCCATAGCCCAGATAGAATTTTACAAAAGTGTGGAAAAAAAAAATTAAAAAAATTATTAGAAGGTTCCAATAGTGAAGGAACAAATCATGAGGGGGGTAAACGTAAATTCGATAGAGGCCTAAAAAAGGGGTCTGAAATAGTGACACGTGTCACACTTTTCAGCCCTTGATTTTTCTTTTTCTTTTTTCTTTTTTTATTTTCCATCTTCTCCAACCACTAGAAAAAAAAGCGTACAAACAAACTGCAATCGTTGAGATAAAACAAACAGTTTTTGGTTTCTTCAGCTACTAACTAAGCAATGGCCACACTTCTGCAAATCCCCCTTTTTTGTTCTTCTCTTCAAAGTGGTGACGTCAGCAGATTCCGCGGCTCAATTTCTAGGTCAAATTCTAATTACAGCAGGTTGAGGGTTAGATCTGTCAAGGAGAAAACAGAGGAAATCAAAACCCCTTCTTCTTCCCCTGAAGAAATTACCAAGAAATATGGCCTTGAAGCTGGTCTTTGGAAGGTAATTATATATATAATATATATATGTATGTATATATTTATTTATTTTTTAATTATGCTAAGTGGGGTTTCTTTGCTTGGTTTGAATTTAGAGATTTATGCTTCTGTTTTAGGAAAGGGTATTATTGGAATTATATCATTTATGTAAGAATCAGCCTATGAATGTAATTCCCTCACTAAAAAGGTTGTTAATTTGAATTCTTCTGTAAATGTTTTTTTGTGTCTGAATTTTTTGTGTTCTTGTAATGTAGAAAGTATGCAGTTAAGGAAGGTTTAGAATCTATAACGTAAACGCGCTTCGTAATTGCTTATTCGTAAACATTAGTATTCTTAAATCATCGGTGCTGTAGTTTTCGCTGCAGTTGAAGTTGATCTCAAGACAGTTTTTTCGCACCTTTTGTCGAAATTAAACCCTCGTTCTATTTGTCAAAACTGCAGATATTTAGTTCAAAAGAAACAGATGGAGAAACGAACGAGACGAAGTCGAAAGGGAACCAAGCGAAGGAACTCCTGGCGAAATACGGAGGAGCATATTTAGCCACTTCGATTACTCTCTCATTAATATCGTTCGGGCTATGCTATGCCCTAATCAACGCCGGAGTCGATGTACCAGCATTGCTGCAAAAGGTACAATCTTTTTTTTTTCATCATCGTAAATGAAAGAACAAAGATTGGGTAGAAGAGTATTCATCGTTTTTTTTTGTTGTTGTCTTAATTGCAGGTTGGAATTTCTACAAACGAAACAGGGGAAAAGGTGGGGACTTTTGCGTTGGCTTACGCCGCCCACAAAGCAGCTTCTCCGATTAGGTTTCCGCCAACTGTAGCCCTTACGCCAGTTGTCGCTAGTTGGATTGGCAAGAAAGTCGATAAAGAGAAATGAAATGGCACGATTATGTCGGAACCAAATTCCATCGTGTAATTTAAATTTTGTTGCCGAAAAAAATAGCCAAAAATAGCCATGCACCGATGCAGCATGTATGTATATGTATACGTATTCGTAACTTTAAATAGCGATTATTGAATAAAACTTAAACAAATGTATATCACCAAGTACTACTGTCGAATACTTTAAATAGAGATTATTGAATAAAACTTTAACAAATGTATTTCACCAAGTACTATTGTACTGAATCTCTAGCAACCTTAATACAATCAAAACTATACGGATAAACGATAAGTTTTTTTACTTGAACAAATGTGCGAGGTCTGGATCATTAAGGTCCAAATCCAACAACCCGTTCATACGCATGTATTCGATATAGTGGTCTGGGGGTTTTATAGCACGTGGATTACGTGGGGTAAAACCGTAAATTCTCTCTAAATCTCGAGCAAGCCAACGAGTGTATGCACGGTCCAAAGGAGGCACAATCTTCAGCATCAGCTCTTCCTTCTTCTCTTGCTTCGCGGGTTTATTTCCCATTCGTAAGACCTATCAAGAACAAAAGTCAAAAAGATAAGGAGAAAAAAAATGATTCGCGAAAAATATTGAAGTTTTTCCGTAGATATCGGTATTTTATTGACAAATTGTACAATAATTGTTAGTAAAATCGAGCTAATCATTTCAACCAAAAAACACTTTTTTTTTTTTTTTTTTTTATTTTATTTTAAATTTCATCAAATTTAGAAATGTAAACAGACAATCACTCGAATAGAGCACACCATCTGTTCGACAAAATTCCTAAACCACCAATCCCACAATTACACTTGAAAACACAACATTATTCACACACAGAATTTGAACAACAACGCGAGAAATTTACAACGCGAGAAATTTGGCATCGACGCAAATTCTATATCAATTCAACGGCGCGCCGGCGAAGCGAAAACCTAGTACGACAACAGATATAAATTTACAAAAGAGCAGCGATTTCATGCGCGTGTTCAGCAGTTCCGGAACAGTAAAACAAAAATTGTGGTGAAATAAACTCACCTGTAAATTTCCGAACGGGATTAGAATTTAAAGAAGAGTTGAGGAATGGGATGATTCTTGATTTTGTTCAAGCTCGAAGAAGAAAGAGGGCCATACATTCTCATTCTCAAAAAGAATAAAACAAAAAGGAAATAAAATTAATTTCTGTAATTAAAAACTAATTATAATATTATATTAATTTCTTTCAGCCCATAAGTACCATATGGGCCGAACTGCTTAATAAAAGTCGGACCACGTGCTTCTGGCCCAGATTCATTACCCAAGTCCACTTAGCTCTACAAAAACGTAGGTCGTTTGGGTTTCTCCTAAATTAACTTAACCTAATTCTTTCCCAATTCCATAGCTAAAACCCTAAATTACCATCCAGGTATGTGAAATTTTACTTTCTCCTTTATATCAAAGGACTTCTGTTTTTTTTTTCTTCATTAATAGGATAAAATTTGTCAAATTTATATGAGTTATTTTTCTTTTTTTATAGATAATTCCGGTGAATCGTGGCGATTTTGATTTTATAATTTACGTCTAGGATTTCGATTTAGGTTTGCAAATTTCACCAGTCGACATTAAAGAAGGGAAAGATGAAGAGATACGGGTTGCAACTTAGTGTCACGGACTTGTTCCCTTAACAACGAACCGCTCTTTTTCGCCCCTCGCGATAGCTAAGTCAAGTCAGCATCTCCCCAATGTGTCTCGAATGTGTTGCGAATGCTAAGTGATAGAAACGAAGGAAGAACTTAAGAAGATAAGAAAGTTTGTAGGAAAGTACTTTTATTGCTTAAGTGTTTGTTGAATTTCTTGGATGGTTACAAATGAGGAGCCTACCTCTATTTATACTAGACCACCTCCTTAATGGACGGTGGAGATCTATTTGATCTAACGGTTGGGAGTGGTTCACTAGAACACCAAAGAATTCCTACAAAATATCTACAAGGGAGGGTTCTAGAATATTTTCTAGAATCCTCCAAAAATCTCTACTCCTCTATACATTTGGGCCAACTTGGGCCTAACCCTATTTGGACTAAATCTTGGGCTTCTTAACTTCCCAACCCAAGGGAAACTGGGGAAACTGGCAATGGGTTGGGCCAAAACTAGCGGGCCGTGACATTAGGGTTCAACTGCAGCAGAAAAAACAGCTCACCAAACCCCCAATTCCGGCCCAACTCGGCTTCAATGACGAAGATGACGATGATTATGTTGAAAGAGATATTATGCGGCAGGCGTACATAAACAAAATTCGCAAAGATGTTAGTTCTCTCTCTCTAGATAATAATTTGCCTAATTTTGTGTTTTGTTCTGTGTGGCTTTTGATTTAATTTTTAAGAAAAAAGTACTTATTTTTTCTTTTTTCGGATTCTTAATTATAGACTGAAGAGCAGCAGAAGAAGACTCTTGAACAAGGCCCGTTGGCGTTCGATTACGATGGAGTATATATGATCAGATGAAGGAGAAGCAAGTTGTTCTTGCAAATTATAAACGCGTCGATAGACAGGTATTATTTGAATTTATTGCTACTTATTAGAAATTACATATTTATCCGAGCTTCTTTTTCTTATGGGCCGAACTGCTTAATAAAAGTCGGCCCATAGTGACGGATCCAGGTTTTACGTCAAGGGTGTGCGAAGTTTAATAAAAAAAAATATAAACATGCAAAAAAAAAAATGTACAAGACATTAAAAATGTACATCTCTTACATACAAATATAAAGTTTTTAGAATATCTTTCGGCGTGATCCCATTTCTTGAAAAAAATTCATCACCTCATCAATACTAACGCCGTTCAATATATCTTTTTCAATGTACGACACCAAAACATCATTCAACATTTGATCCCCCATTCGATTGCGTAGCTCCAACTTAACAATGTTCATTGCAGAGAATATTCTTTCAACTGATGCGGTTGCAACCGGCAAAATTAATGACAACTTCAATAATAAGTACACCAATGGATAAGTCACATTATTTCTCTTGAAAACCAACTTCTCAGCAAGCCTGCTAGCTCCACTCATATTTAAAAAGTCTTGATCACTTTTAACATGCCTGATATAATTCTCAAGCTGGTTTTCAAAGGCTATAAGATCATTATCATCAAACTCTTCAGGATAAAATTCAGCTAATTTCACCAAAGCCTTTCTATCAAATGCAGAGAACAAATTACTTGGATCAAGACATGATATCAGACTAAGTAACTCCGTATTAGTATTGTCAAAACGATCATTCAATTCTGAAAGTTGAAGATCGATCACTGTATAAAGCACATCAACCTTATAATGATTCAAGTTTGTAATTTGCGTACCTTTTCGCGATACTCTGCCATCTCTCGAGTAAAGTACAAAATCATCATTCATATTTGGAATGAGAATGTTATTTTGAACACAAAAGGATGAAGTTTCTCGCAACAAATCGTCCCACCCACCTTCTCTCAACTCTTGCAGTCGATCTTTAGCAAAAATAACAAGTTTCATGGCATTTGCAAGGTCCCGATCCTTCCTTCGAAGTGCTTGTGACAAATCATTTGTGATCCCTAAGATCGATCTCATTAAGTGCAAGACAAAAGCAAACTCGAAACACACAATATTCCTTAAAAGCATTGAGGCTTGTCCACAATGAGAAACATCATCACTATTATTTTCTAAGTACTCTAGTACACCAACCACCGAAGGAAACAATTTAATCATACTCGTGATTGTGAAATAATACGAATTCCTACGTGTATCTCCGGACCTTTTTAAAGTGGACTCTTGATTCAAACCACTACCACTTACAAAATTATCAAAAGAAACTCTTTCCATTAACTTCTCAAATTGTTTCTCCCGAAGCAACTCTTGACGTTTACAAGAACCTCCAATAACGTTAGCCAACAATGCAAGAGAACCAAAAAATTCTGAAAGTTGCTTATTTTTCTTAGTAATTTGCACAAGAGCTAACTGAAGCTGATGAGCAAAATTGCACAAGAGCTAACTGAAGCTGATGAGCAAAATAATGAACATAAAAAGCAGACTTGTTTTCTTTCAATATTAAACTCTTCAAACCATTAAACTCTCCTTGCATATTACTAGCTCCATCATAACCTTGGCCACGCACTCGCGACAAACTCAAGCCAAATGTTGTAAGAAGAGACTCAAGAGAAGCTTTCAGACATCGTGAAGTCGTATTTGGAACCACTAGTAGAAAACCGGCCACAGGCGACGAAATATTGCGACGAAACGAGGACTTTTGCGACGAAATTAGGACTCCCGCGACGATTCATATTTCGTCGCAATGGGGGTAATAATTCGTCGCCAATCAACCCGTCGCAAAGGCGGCGACGAATTCTATGTTTCGTCGCTACATGGGCGACGAACAACGTTTTCGTCGCAAAAAGTCGATTTTTTATAATAAATTAGAATTTTGTTTTTGCGACGTTTATATCTACGTTATCGTCGCTATTTTCTGCGACGTTTTTCTCACTTTCGTCGCAAAATAACAATTTCAACAAAAATAAAATAATATTAGTTTGCGACGAACTATATATATCGTCGCAAAGTATTGCCTCGATATTTCTTGTTCGTCGCCAATGATTGCGACGAATGTTAACTATTCGTCGCAAGATTTAGTCCTGCCAAAATAAGATTTACGACGAAATATAGTACATCGACGCACTTCATTTGCGACGAAAATTATTATATTCGTCGCAAATCTTACTGTACAGTTTTATATATATATTATATATATATATATTATTTTATATATATAATAAATTACCTGTAAATAATTATTAATTTCACTAAAACAATTAAACTACTAAATTAAATTACATAGCAATTTTAAAGTTGAAGTCTACATAAAATTAAATACCAAGTCAACAGTACATATATGAATCTAGAATTACATAAAAACTTAGAAAAATATTGTAGCATTACACAATGAAATTAATCCGAATTGAGTCGTTCTTCGTCGTCATTTGAAGTACCCGAATTTGGAGCTTTGGAGACGGGCTGATCAACAATTCCTTTTTGTCTTAAAGTATTAAGTAATGAGTTCAAAGATTCTTTAAGTGAGCTCACCTCATCTCGCGATTCTTGCAATTCTCCTTCTAAGAGCTCGACTTTAGTCTCCAACTCTTCATTTCTAACAGAAGAAAATCTTGATCTTGCAACTTTCTTAGTGGTTGAGCTTTGAATCCCAAGTAATTTTGTCTTACCCAACACTCTTTCACAAGCTATTGAGTCGGCCGTACTTTGATCTTTTCCATCATTAATACACTCTTCGTATACTCTTTCCAAGTCTTCCTGAAAATACAAATAAATAACCATAAATTCATAAATTAAACAAAAAATTGGGCAGCATAACATCTATTGTATGGACATACCAAAAAAATATCAATACATAGAAAACACATCAACAAATTCAACATATATACCAACCAATAGATCAAACACAATTTAACATATATACCAAACAATAGATCAAACACACAATACCAAAACAAAAAAACCACCAACTAATTCAACATAAAAAACAATTAAGGATGAAAACTTACCGCAATAGCACGTTGTTCAGGAGTTCCAATCCCAGTATATGGTTCTGCCCTCTCACCCTCCTCCGTGGATGACCCGGATTCCACGAATGGCATCAATGGGTCGATACGCATATAGTCTTTTTTATATTTATCAACCACGGTAGGAGCTTTACCAAATTTTTGAAGCTGTAATAAAAATTTATAAAAAAAATTAATATAAAATATACATGCATATAATACGAAAAATAACAAAAAAATATATAAGACTAGACTTACATGTTCATGAGACCACCCACTAATACTAGTTCCTCAGACTCTAGGTGCATTACCCATTGGCCTAAACCATAAGATTTATCCCAACCCCTCCAAACTAAATGTCCATGGACAAATTCCCGATCCCCAATTTTTCTACACTCACAATCTCGACATGGACATCGTATTTTATTATCAATCGCAGCCTTATTAAAAGCAAAATCCAAAAATTCTTCACAACCCTTTTGAAATGCATCTAATCGATGATCATCTATCAAAACCCAACTCCTATCCTTTGCCATTTTGTAGTAAGTAAATAGTCTTACTGATGCTGGTAAAAAATAGCATGACAAATATTTCAGTTATTCAAAATATTGTTTTTGTCATGTAGAATGCATTAATTAATATAGAAAAAAAATCGAAATGAGAAGAAATATTAATTTTACGTAACCACGCACACAAATATTTCTTTTATTAACATAATAATCATATAATCAGTTTTACATGATTATTGATTTATTTATAAATCAAGTGCTAAAAAGAATTATTCAATATTTAATAAGTATTTTTAATAAATGGAAATGTATATTGTCTTCTACTATTAAGAACGCATAAAAATCGGAAGGAAGAGATAAGTTGCATCATATAAGTTTGCGTTAACATGCGACAACAAAGTTGAATGAATACAGAAAAACTTTGTCGTGGTAAAGGTGAGGGAAAGGATAATTTCTTACTCGAGAAAGTCTAAATGTGCAAAACTTGCGCTTCCTTTTCCAGCTATACTTGATTAGTTGTGTTCCTTTCTTCAAAGCAATAAGTACCTTCAGTCAACAAGTCAACAAAATTAAGTACCGATTCAAAGGTTCAACAGTTTTTCACCCGATTCCACAAATCGATTCTCACACACACACACACGCGCACAGACACATTTGTCTACCTCTGCTCTTTTACATATTCTAAGATTCGCATCAGCCGAATGTTTGCAACTGTATGATTTGCTGGAATCAGCAAAACATGTTTATGAACAAAATCAAATTAAAAAAAAGAAAACCTTTTCACACACACACACACACACTCACTCAGAGAGAAAAACACACACATATCACACAATTTGATGCATATATCAAATTCAATTCAACAAACATTTACGCCTCTTCACACACACACACACAGACACACAGACACACACACACACACACACACACACAATTAGAAGCTTAAAATGCTACATGATTATTAGTTGTTTGCTGTATATTATGCAGGTTACACTGATTTGGCAGCGTGGTGTTGGAACGGAAGTGGCCAATAACGGTCGGAAAATAAGCCAAATTAGTTGTATAATAATGGAGGATATATCTTTTGATTTTTATGGATGATTAATTAGTAGCAAATTAATAAAAATTTATTATTATATGAAGATCACAGTTATTGAAGATGTACCGGCTGCAAAATTTCCATTATGCATTCGTTACTTTATTATCCTTCTGCAAACTAATGACATGTGTTTTTGATTAATCTGTGTACAGACTTTGCAATATAATTTTTATTTTAATAAGGGAAAATATAAAGAAAAACAAAGAGATTCTCTTTATTTTCATGAAAGGGAATAGAAAATGCATTTATATTTATTTGCATTTCAACTGATATCAATAAATATATATATCCATATAAACTTTGCAGCAATCAATTTTAAGCATAAATACCTCGACAGTCTGCACACGGTGGGCTTTCACAGATGAGGCGGCGGCAAGGCAACGGCAGAGGCGGCGGCAACACTTCGGAACAGAGATCCCAAGAGAGTGAGAAAAAGATGGAGGGAGAGAGAGGGAGAGAAGGAGGGAGAGAGAGGGAGAGAAAGAAGGGGGGAGTTTGGTGGCCGGTGATGGTGGAATCGCGCCGGCAGAACGACGCCGCCACCGGCGACGGTAGAGTCGGAGAGACAGAGAAGAGAGAGAGAGAGGGGGAGAGAGAGAGAGAGAGAGAATGGAGAATTGGGCTGAAACGAATTAGGTTTAACCCAATTCTTTTATGCGACGAATTCCACAGAATCGACGCGAAAATGAAAAAAAAAAAATCTTAAATTAATTAATTGCGTCGATTCAATATAAATCGTCGCCAGGAAATAATAAAAAATCAATTTCATTGCGACGTTTATATATTCGTAGCAATTTGGGCTCCAAAATTTGGGAAAGAGAAAATACTAGCGACGTTTCATATAAATATTCGTCGCAATATTTATTAAAAAATAATAAAATGAAAATAATTTATTCTAACTGCGACTATTTCCTAAATCGACGCAACGGGAAAAGAAATAAATGCAATTGGTTTGCGTCGTTTAGTCACAATTCGTCGCAGGTAACATAATAAATAAAATAAAAATTATTCTAATTGCGACGATTATATAACTTTCGTCGCTAACATATACTTTAAAAATAAAAAAAAATTACTTTTCGCGACGTTTGTCGCTTTTTCGTCTCAAAAATATATGAAAAAGATTTTTGTTTTCTCGTTGCGACGTTTATGGACAGATTCGACGCAACCTAGCGACGATACTCGTGTTTCGTCGCCAAGGTTTTGAGTCAAAAGCGGGATTTAAACTGTTGCGACTAATGTAATAGGAATCGTCGCAAAATTGCGACGATTTTTATTTAGTCGCAAATTTTAACGTCGCCAGAACTGTGTTTTGGCCTAGTGAACATGAACAATGCCAAGAAAGCGTTCAATAATTTTTCCTCCCTTGTTTACATAACGTAAAGCAACCGCCATTTGTTCTTTAATGGAGACATCACGTGCCTCGTCAACTAATAAAGCAAAGAAATCATCTCCAATATCAGAAATAATAGTCTTCGAGACTAAATGAGCAAACACACCAATGATTTGTTTTTGAATTTCTGGTGCTGTCATAATACAATTTCCTTGGGAGTTATTCAAAACAACTTTGTTAATTTCATCATTATCTTCCGCCATAACCTTTATAAGTTCCACAAAGTTACCTTTATTTAGCGAACTCTTTGACTCGTCATGCCCCCGAAATGCAAGTCCTTGCCTTAATAGATATCTAATGGCCTTCGTTGTTGTACGCAACCGAATGTAGTAGTCGCGTTTAGATTCCTTAGTTTTGCTCTCAAGAGGAACATCTATGTGACCTTTATTATTCATCAAATCTTGACAAGCCATATAGCAATGATGATGAACACTGTCATGATTTCCCTCGTGTTTTCTCAAATTTTCCTTCTTGTACCAGTTTCTATAACCTTCACTGACAAATTTACCACCGCCCCCTTTGGCACTTTCTCCAACCTTAAATAGATAGCAACATAAACAATATAACGCGTCTTTACTTTCACTATATTCCAACTGAAAGAATTTATGGTCCCGAATTCGTATTATACAGAGATGTTATCTGAAGTGTTGTGACACTTGAGAAAACATGCAGCGGAAATATAAAGATTAAAAGACAATGCTCAGAATTAAAAATGTTCACAAGTAAAGACTTGTGAACTTGCCCTTTACAGGACGGAAAAATATATTAAAATCAGTATTCCAAGAATACAAACGGAAGAGATGCGAAAACTTCTTCCTTATGAATGAACCATTCTCATGATCATTCTTACAATCAAATCTAGATACTAAAAGAAAAATATTAAAAATTCTAGATTTCAAAGAATGTACTCATAAGGAGTACGTACAACAGATCCTAGAAACACTCTAAAATTCTCGAGATTAATACTTCAGCTCTCTCTATGTTTCTTCGAAATCTGTATTGTTCTTGAGTCTTGAGTTTGGTATTTATAGACTTGCCAAGCTTCCACTCCTCAGCCCATGATCTGCAAGGAAACCAACCACAAGAGCACTCAAGATAATGGGTTAGTGGGTTAGTTAGGAAGTTAGATAAAAATCCACAATTAGACCCACTAATCACTACTTAGCCCACTAAGTCATAACACTTAGCCCACTAAGTAATAACTAAAATTTAGTTTAAAAGAAAGAGAGTTAAAAACACTTTTGTAAAAATAACATCGTGTTTCACCAACCAACTACCAAACTCATTGTACTAATCTACAATAAATTTGCGTTGTTGTCCATAGGAAGTAGTTTGAGGAAATTTACAGAGTCGAGGTTGACAAGGACCTTTTTGTAAGTAAGCTCTTCGAACAATTTCAAGCTCTTTAGAAGTCTTGGCAAGATCACTAATAGGCAATCTCAATCCCGGGTCAGCTTCAATAGCACTCAAATTAACCTCTACTTGCGATTGATTGTGAATACCTTGAGCATGTTATTCAGGGACGCTATCATTAATTGGCGTTTCTTCTTGGATTCTAACATTAGTCTGCGTTCCTTCTTGGATGGTATTATTAGTCGACGTTCCAATATTGATATTATCATTTGAAGTAGATGATTCTCCTAGCCGATGACGTTTAGTTTTTATCACAAATCGATCCATATTCTACAAATAAATAGAATGGGCAAGAGTTAAAGATAACTTCGCACCAATCGATATAAGTCTCATATAACAAAATAAATCAAGAATTTTTAGCAGTATTAACTTGTTAATCCCCAAATATTATTAATTGATAATTGTTATTCTGACTCACATATAATAAAATACTAGATTTAATTGAATGTAATTACTCACTTAGAATATGTATTACAACAAAAACCAAATATAATAAGACACTAACAGAGAAACGCACGTGCAGTGCAGTGCAGCCCCACAAAACATTCTATGCCTTTTTCTCGACTTCCCACTTAGATATTTGAGTTTTGCTATTTAAAAAAAACCAAATATCTACAAAACTCCAATTAATCAAAACCCCTTTTTCCAATCCTTAAATCATAAATTGTTGAACCCATTGTTGCTAACCTGTTGTCGTTTAGCCATTAATTTGAGTGGATTAGATGCGGCTCGGTGGGCTGGCGAGTGGCGACGATGGCTAATTTTTTTCCAGTGATGGTGGCCGGTACAATGGGGAGGGATTTTTGTGGGTAAATAAAAAAAAGCTTTTTTTGTTTCTGATGCTTCTGCTACCGTGACTTCTGCTGCCGTGAGAAATTGGGAAAATCAAGTGAAAAGTTTTGTGTTGACTTTTAAGTAAAGGTGTTATATTTTACTTATTTTCACATTAGTCCCCTTTTAGCTTAATATATTAAAGGGCAAATGGCAAAAAGACCCCTTTTAGTTAAAAACTCTAACGGGATAATGCATTGGATACATTATTCCGATAGGGTTCTAATGGACTATTACTTTTAGCTAGTTATGGAGATAACATAGAGTTATGGGGAGTTATGGGGTGACATGACTCCCCCAATATTTCTTAAATCACTCATAACTCTTTGTTGTCTTCACCATTTCCTGAAACCAATAGTCCGTTAGAACTCTATCGTAATAACGTATTCAGTGCATTATACCATTAGAGTTTATAACTACGTTTCAAGGGGGTGAGTGTAATTATCGATACCACATGGACCTTAAAGTTATTTAAGTATACCTCAGGGGTGTGGGTGTAATTATCCATATTTCAGAAACTTGTTCATCTTGAAGTAAAAACAAAAATTGATGGGAAAAAAATGTTTAAATTTGAAAGTGATTCTGATTTTTTAGTGGGTGTTATTTGTGTTCTATTTGATGAAGCATTCCGATTTTTTTTTCTTTTTTGTTTATTGGCTCAGTTGGTAACTTTCATGGCATTTGACTGACTATTCTTGCTTTCGGTTTTAAATTTCATTTGGAATAATACTTTCTCGTGCTTTGAGTTTTGAAGAATTTTCTGATCAATAGAGAAACTTGTTGTTTGCAGCCAAGATACATTCAAGGATTAATCGACAAGGCGAAACGGCGAGCGATTGATCATGACATAAGCTACGAGAAGAGACTTGCTAAAGAGAGAAGCAAAGATGAACATCTCTATGCAGATAAAGATAAGTATTTTACTAGTGCTTACAAGAAGAAACTTGCAGAGCAAGCCAAATGGATCGAGGAAGAGCGCCTCCGTGAAATGCGGGAAGTAAAGGATGACGTAAGTTAAAACTCTAATATGATGTATAATTTAAAATTATCTTCTCAGTTTTAGATAATAATTTTTGTTATTTATTTAATAGGTCACCAAGAAGACAGACCTAACGGATTTCTACAAGAACGTAGCGTTTGGTGCTGACTCATCGAAGAAACCCGAAAAGCAGGCTGAGGAGGTCGCGGCTCAGCCACCAACACGATTCTCTGCATCACCAACCGTTACAAGTCCGGAAACATGTAGAACAGTGAAGTGGGATCGAGACGAGATTCCTGAGAAGATTCCTCCCAAGACAAAAGACGAGCCATCAGCTAGTAATCAGGTGACACCTGGCGATCAGAAAAAGAGCGAGGATGCAGTGGTTGAAGCAAAGAACCACCATAAAAGAAGTGTGGATGCAGTGGTTGCAGCAACGGAACGATATTTGGTACGAAAGAGATCGAAACTCGAAACTATAAATGAGATCCAACTACAGAGCCTAGTTGTATAGGTGTCATTAATGACCATGTTCTATGTATATAACTTACTTGATTATAAGCTTATTTAACAATTAAAAAATGAATTAGCGATTTATTTATTTATTTTTCTTTTTTCGGATGTGTAAATAAAAATCATTGAAAAAAATAAAATAAAAATACAAGAGGCTTCCATACCAACATACAGAACGGGCCCATTTTGCCAAGTTATGGGCCGCAAAAGACGGCCCATTAAAACAGATATCATTAACTAATTAATTATATGTATTAAAATTACAGATTTCGATTCTACATTTGGTCTCCCTTGTTCACTTAAAACGAATTCGGTCAATCATGTTTCAACAATTTGACATTTTTTGTCATTTTCCGTCAATTATTAGTTAGGTAAGAGAGCGATGGATATATATTTGGTAAATTGTTGAAACATGAGGGATTAAATTAATTTTTGCAAACTTGGGGGACCGAATGTTGAATAAAAAAAAAATATTCTGTATAAAAATAATTATACAATTTGCTTTTAACCTGGGCAAGGCTCCTTTCTCTATCTGTTTTCTCTCTCTTCGGTTCGTGTCAAGTATCCGGCCAATCCAGTTGATATCAGCAAATTCGCTACGCCCGCCGGCAATTACACGGTAGAAATACCTTTTTTTTTACCTTATCGACGGTAGATTTTGTGTGTTTTTATTCTGCCCTTTATATGCTGTTCTAGTTTTGTTTTAGGTTTTAATTGGTTCAGACAATTTGGTTTTAGCTGCTGTTTGTTTGAAGCTTTGGTTAATTTCCGTGATTCGAGATCAATCAATTGGTTAGTAATCACTGAAATTTGTATTTTTAGGTTAGTTATCTCAAATTATTCTTAGGTATTGAACTGCCCAATTCCTAATCAGGGTTCGTATATTAGTTCTACTTTCAGCTATTCCATCAGATTATCTGAGTTCTGTTTTTTTTCTTCATTGATATGATAAAGTTTGTTAATTTCTAGATGATCGCGAGGCTTTCGATTATGTGCTTTGTTTGTATAGGGGTATACAACATAGTTGCAGTAATATGCTTCGGTTTATCTGAATGCTAATATTTGGTTTCTTTTAGGTATTCCGAATTTAACGAGCCGAAATAAAGGGGGGAAAAAAAATGAAGAAATACGGTTTGCAACTTCGGGTTCAACCGCAGCAGAAAAAACAGCCCACCAAACCCCCAATTCCCGCCCCACTTGGCTTCAACGACGAAGATGACGATGATAATGTTGAAAGAGAGATTATGCGACAGGCGTACAAAAACAAAACTCACAAAGATGTTAGTCCTCTCTCTTTGTAGACAATAATTTGCCTAGTAGCTATCAATAATCTAATGTTGTGTTTCTTTCTGTGTGGCTTTTGATGGATTTTTGTTTAAAACTACTTATTTCTCTTGTTTCGAATTCTTAATATAGGTTGAAGAGCAGCATAAGAAGGCTCTTGAAGAAGACCCGTCGGTGTTCGATTACGATGGAGTATATGATAAGATGAAGGAGAAACAAGTTCTTCCTGCACAGCAGGAGCGCGTTGATAGAAAGGTATTATTTGAATTTATTGCTACTTATTGGAAATTACATTCATGTTTTTTTTTTAGCTTCTTCCATATGAACTTGATTGAATGATTCTCGTATTTGTTCAGTTTTCATGTCTTTCTGGTACTTGAAAATATTCATTTGGGATAATTGCAACTGTCTCAGAAAATTGTTTAGTTTGGATTTAGATTCATCTTCAATTAAATGATTTTTATGCGAAGATAATGTTTAAATTTGAAAGTGATTTGATTTCCCAAAGCTGCAGAATTGGGTAATTTGCAAATTTCTTCCCCCGGGCCTTGTAAAATCATAAAGAGCAAGATTCCCATGTTAGTTTTCATATCCGTGCACTATGCTATATATTCCGTTGGGCGGTCTTGTGTACTTCGGTAAATTCATTCGTTTAGTTGGGATGTGATCATATGAAGAAGAGTGAGTTTTTCTAGTTTTAGAAATTGGGCAGCTGAGGTGTTATGGAGAGTTCGATTTAAAATCTATCTCGCGTTACCTTGATTTTCTTATCTTATTGTAACTCTTAGTTGTAGCTGAGTTAAGTAACCAGACAACTGTTTGCTTTTGTTTGCAGCCAAGATATATTCAAACATTAATGGACAAGGCGATACAACGAGAAAGAGATCATGAAATAAGCTACGAGAGGAAACTTGCTAAAGAGAGAAGCAAAGACGAACATCTCTATTCAGATAAAGATAAGTATGTTACTAGTGCTTACAAGAGGAAACTTGCAGAGCAAGCCAAATGGATGGAGGAAGAGAGGCTCCGTGAAATGAGAGAAGCAAAGGACGACGTAAGTTAAACTTGCCTTGGTCTTTTTTTTTTCTGTTGACCATACGATCTAAAATTTTAAATATCCTCTCAGTTTTAAATATTTTTTTTTTGTTATTTATTTAATAGGTCACAAAGAAGACGGACCTAACCGATTTCTACTTCAACCTGGGCAAGAACGTAGCTTTTGGTGCTAGAGATGGTGACTCGTCGAAAACCGAAAAGCAGGCTGAGGAGGTTGCGGCTCAGCCGCCACAACAAGTCTCTCCACCACCAACTGTTGCTAGTCCGGAAACATCTAGAACAGTGAAGTGGGATCGAGACGAGATTCCCGAGAATATTCCTCCCAACGAAAAATCTGACCGTCTTTCTGAAACTTACCCACAAGATAAGGTCACAAAAGACGAGCCATCAGCTAGTAATCAAGTGACACCTGGCGATCTGAAAAAGAGCGAGGATGCAGTGGTTGAAGCAAAGAACCATCATAAAAGAAGTGAGGATGCAGTGGCTGCAGCAAAGGAACGATTTTTGGCACGAAAGAAATCAAAAGTATGAACGAGAGGTAACGTGTTATGACTGAGCCGATGATATTATTTCTTTTACGAATCAATGTTGGGGGAGTTTCTACTAGGACAGGTTTTATTAAGCAAGGCAAAAAGATGTCTTACATTAAGATCATTGACCCGAATATTTTATTTCATCATTAAAATACACAATTAAAAATTCAGTTTCAGTTTAAATGTCAAGAAAACAAATTAAAAAAGCAATATCACTGAATAATAAATATTTAACCAAGCATTGTTCGAAAAAAAAAGATTGATTTGCATCCGGAGTTGTCTAGGTAGTTTTCCGCCAGCTGGCATCACGGTCAGCTCTCGACGTTTTATTCAACCTCCTGTGGGTTGATGAACCATTTCGTGAACTCCAAAATTTGCTGGCCCTGCAGTGTAGCAATTCTTCCTTCCATCGTAAGCCAATTGTCTCTTGCCCAAATGTGAAGCGTTAAAGGATTTGACGAGCTGATCCATTATCATCCGGCATAACTTCTTCGAGGTTACCTCAGCCGAGATAGCAACCTAAAATGAAAATAACAGTAGTCATCAAAATAATCGAAACAATTACGAAAAATCTTTTCGGAACACATTATTACTCTTCAATTCAAAACACAGAGAAACACCAATAACATAAACAGAGGCATCTATTCACAAATCACAAAAACAATAAACCAAACCAGAAGAGTGTTAATGGTTTCGAAAGAGAACTCTGATAATTGATACATGATACACAAAAACACATATACATACATACACACACAAGGCAACACATATACATACATGAAATGAAAAGAGATCTGTATAAAATACAAACAAATACGCAATCGCACACAAAACTTCTCTACACAGAAAATCACCTTCTCAATCAAAAAAAAAAAAACACTTACATCGTAGTGGTTCAACAAAAAAGGCACTTTATCTAATTAAATTAATATTAATTAAATTAGCCCAAAAAGGCATATTTTTCAATTATATGTTATGTAATATAATATAATTTAATATTCGAATTTACCTTATTAATTATTATTAGTAAAATAGATGCGTATTCTAATTACGCAGCAAATTTGTCTTTATTATATTATTATTTATGTACATAAAACCTAGTTCTAATGTGATTCTGTTTAGATTATATGAATCCTACCTTGTATCTATCTCTCTATATATATGTATATGTCGATGTATATATTATAAAAATATCCATACTACGTACGCAGATTGAAGAAGGCTCTGTTTTTTGCTTGGTTAGATAAATTTATCTCTCTATATATATGTATATGTCGATGTATATATTATAAAAATATCCATACTACGTACGCAGATTGAAGAAGGCTCTGTTTTTTGCTTGGTTAGATAAATTAATTAGAGATGACGAACAGTAGATCGACGAGAAGGAAGAGAAATTACATGAAGATTAATAAAGATAAAAATCTACTTAAGGTAATTATTAATTAAATCTCTCTTGTTTATATTTTTTTTTTTTGTGATATTTTTCATTGCATCGGAGCATGTTATAGTTTTTTGTGATATTTTTCATTGCATCGGAGCATGTTATAGTTCGTACGTAGCATCTTCAACATCCTGTTTATTTTCTAATCGGTATTATATCCTCAATTTTTTTTATTTATTTTTATTATGTATATATATATATATAACTCATATATATATGTTTAATTTGTTTCTTCAGGAAACAATAGTAGCAGCAAGTAATTGTAACATTATTAATAATATTGATAATGATGATGATGGGGTGGACAAGATCAGTCAGCTGCCGGACGATATTCTTGTATTGATAATCTCACGGCTGACGGTGACCGAAGCTGTGTGCACGAGCGTCCTATCCACACGTTGGCGTGGGCTCCACAAGTACATCACTCGCCTCGATTTTTCTCCAACCTCCAAACAACTAAAAGCATTTAAAGATCAAGAAGAGGAGCGCGGCCGCAACAAAAAAGGTGATGATCGAGTATTCGAGGAGGAGATCGTAAGAAATTGCGCTAGCATAATCGATCGCACATTGGATTCACTCAAGGGAGGTGCGGCTCTAGAAGAAATTCGACTCTACTTACCTTGGTTCCAGAT